ACACACACACACACACACACACACACACACACACACACACACACACACACACACACACACACACACATGCACACACACACACACACCTAACTTATGTAATGCCCAGCCAGAGGGTCCAGGCAGGTGGAGTACATAGTCATGCAGTATAGGAAGATTACTTGTCATGCATAGAGGGAGAGATAAGGGAGGGGAAATATTATCCTGAGGGGAGGAGGGTGCCAGGATGTATGTTTGTGAGGGAGAGCAAGAGGGGAAAGGTGAACTCTATACCGGAAAACAAGGGGACTAATATATACGTGTTGAGGGGCCAGAGGGGAGATAGTGGCACTCTGAGGGAGATGCCAGCGTTAACAAGGAGGGGGACATGCACTAGTCTCCTATTAACAAAAATTACGCAAGAGAACAATGATGGCAGCGTAGGTGGAGAGGAAACTGTGTAGGGGAAGACCACAGCTCGGTATAGGTCGTGAGCTGTGACATAATGGACTCATCCTTATCTTCACTACCTTCACTATCTTCACTAGCTTCATTATCTTCACTAGCTTCACTATCTTCATTATCTTCGCTTATCTTCGTATTTCCTTATAGATCAACACGACTTATCAACCAATAATATAATTTTTTTTTTCGCCCCAGCCCGCCCACCAAAAGTAATTATGACATATTTAACAGGTCACGGGAGGTCAGATCACACTGTTGGCTACACCTACGTTGACCATCACTAATTGTGGTGTAAGAGATAGCTTCCACAATCACTCTTTCTGCTCCTTACTCACGTCATTATCTTCTACACCACAAACATCCAAATGTAAATAAATCATATCATTGTCTTCACTACTATCACAGGACTCAATGCAATACAATTCAAACATAACATAAAGACGAGAGTCATCACTTTTCTCTCTATGCTTCCAGTGTTTACGATAATGTTGCTTAATTATTCCAATATTAATGTGTGTGGCGATAAATTTCCTCATTAGATATTAATATGTCAGAATGTGGTGTTTATTGATACTGTCGTGTCGTGTTGTGTCGTGTTGTGTCGTGTGGTCACCCTGCCCTTGGCCGTGAGTGACTGTTTATAATAACTTACTACAGATATCAATTATTTGGCCGGGGTGATGTGTTTGGCCTACATTATTCACTTATTTAGATATTTACTTAATTACTTTTCTACTTACTCTGCATTAAAGTGTTGTTTTCTTAAGTTTTACATAAAAAAACACATTATCTTTAGAGAGCAAGACTTACTCAAATATCTATCTATATTTAATTACGGGTTATGTAGTCTATCAAACTGGCGTCACTAAAAAAGTCTACCCGTATTCATCACTTTAGAGTCGCTGTAGTGTGCTGTAGGTTTGAAAACTTTCCTTACATAAGACAAATACTTTTACCCCCTTATTAAAATTATGAACAAATTGCCTCAGGCCCCAGCTATTTAATTTTGAAAAGGTAAGAGACTGCTGCTGCTACTACTACCACCCCCGAGCCCTCCTAACTATCAGAGACACCAACAACAAGTAGAGACAGTAACGGGTAGTATAATTACACCTCTTTGACCTCTTAATTCCATTACCAGGCACCAGAGGGGGGTCACTGGATCACGACTAAGTGAGTTATCCCTCTAAAACGGCAACACAGTGAAAGAAAACGAAGGGGAAAAATAATAATTGATGTGTTTTTGCCCGAATTCGCAGACATACGAGTACAGACAGACAGACAGACGGATAGACAGTTAGACAAACAGACTGACAGATACATAGACATACAGATAGACAGACTGATGGTAAAACTCCTGATCTCTCTTTAGGGCAGTGAACACAAGGACGAAAAATAACTTAATTTCATTATATTTTTTTTTTTTTTTACCTGTCATGAAATTCGATTGAATCTCCAACAGATATTTTGTATAAAGTTAATATATATTGGTGGACCATACTGTATCGTGTTCATTACTTATACTGTATCTGTTTTAAAATGATTGAAAATAGTGTGTGTGTGTGTGTGTGTAATAATAAATAAAAATAATAATAATTAACGGTTTATTGAAAGAGCTTGGCAGCCAGAAGGCTGAAAATATACAGTTACATATTTGGGGAATGGGTTTCGAATTCCAAATAATATACAAGTAACATAAGTGATACAAATAAGATATATAATAACTAGGTGGGGAAAAGCTCAAATCATATATCAAATATAGTGAGAAAAAGTAAGGAGTAGTGTTACTGGAGTGAATACAATTGGTTTATTAAGCAAAGGGTTGATAATTTCAAGTAATGGTTGGGATCAAATAACTCTTATAGCGACCAGTCGCAATGCAGGGCTGGATGTGTCAGGTGTCGAACAGCAATTCTCAGCTAGGATCTCAGGTAGGGAGCTGGTGTTTGAGGATGGTAGAAGCTTACCAAATTTGGTAGATGAGGTCGTGTGATGGTCAGTGAGAGTCGAAAGGGTCAGTGTGTTGAGCGCTTCTTGATACGTGGAGAAGGAGAGAATAATCTTGCATGCCCTTCTTTGCACTTTTTTCTAGGTAAGCTTACGTTGTGTGGCATTTAGGAGGAAGACCAGTAGGGGAGGCATAGGTGAGCTTTGGGAAGAAGTGAATGTTGTGTAAACACCTGAGGGAGTCTGCGCAGGAACCTGAGGGACTTGAGTTTCCATGGAGGAGGTGGAGACGGAATTGAGGATTTGACAACTTACTGACCTGTGGTTTCAATTTAGTTTGTTAACTATGGTGATGCCGAGGAGCTTCAGGAATCTACAACCTGGAGTGTGTTCCGGACTTAGAGTAATGGAAAGGAGGTGGACAATGTCGGAGGAGAGGGTTGATGTGCAGCAACTGGTCTTGGTATGGGTTGATGCAGACATGGTTGTTGGTGTCTAGTTTTGGAGACTGTTCAATAAATCCTGGAAGGGCGGTAAGGTCGGGAGCAGAATTGTTGACGCTGATCCCAATGGTGAGTTTGTCGACATATTTCCAGCAAGTGTGTGTGTGTGTGTGTGTGTGTGTGTGTGTGTGTGTGTGTGTGTGTGTGTGTGTGTGTGTGTGTGTGTGTGTGTGTGTGTGTGTGTGTTTGATTAGATTAGGTTCAGTTAAGTTGGGATGATTAAGGTAAGGTGAGGGGGTAGGGTAGGGTAAGGGAGGGATGAGTTGGGTAAGGTAAGGTAAGGAGGTTAATTCTGTTTTTTCCGCTGTGTGACTTTCCTCCTAACACTCAATATTATCACTTTGTCTCCCAGAAGTGAGGCAACAGCGAGAGTGTAGACCAACGAACTTATTCAGGTGGATGTGTGTGTACTATACAGCTCGTTTGTTGACCGAGACAAAACAGTCCCAGCACACGTCGTCGCCCGGTTAAAACTGTGTTAACCTCCGTAAAATTAAATTAATGAACGTTTGCATTCGCTCATAAGGCTGACAACAGAAGATAACATAGAAAATTACATATTGAAAAGATAACTACGTAACACACATTGCCAGGTACAGAAACAATCAACACAACTCACCTGTATTTTCTATGTATTGATAGACGGCCTTAAAGCCCTTGTACTCTATGGTCTCGTCTGAGGTGAACCTGAGCCACAAGTGACTGTCCTTGGAGGTGATAATAGGCGGGAAGTCGTGGCCGCAGTAGCGACCCTTCAGGTCAGAGTACCCGTGAGCACCGTCCCGCACCTCCAGGAAGTCGAATTCACACTTCTCCGACGGTTCCATGTCAAAGTAGTCCCGGAAGTCTATTCGTATTACGTAGCCGTACGCAGCTGTGAGGGAGAAAGGAGGGGAATTTTGTGTGTGAGAGAGAGACATAAAATATGCTCGGAAAGTGACTGAAGCGACGCCCCTGAAACGGTGTCGTTCACACAAGACGCCACACTCAAGGATGACACCCCACCTCCCTGTTGGTTATTGTCGAGTGACAGTCATGATGAGCGCCTCGCCTCCTGCACCACACTCGCCAACTGTCCTCACTGCTGTTGCTGGGCGTCGCCTCCCTCCACACATCATGACCTCGCCCTGTAAACTGTCAGTAAGGAATTAATCACGACAGCACCTGACATTCGTGACGGTGTCCTGGGTGTGTGGTACTTATTTGATCTAATATGGGAGAAGTCTTGGCCTGTGTGTGCATTATAATTTATTTTTATTAAAGTTTAAAAGTTGCACACGGATTTTATCAACACCATGTAGTCCTCAGCATTCGCAATCCTTGTCATTTATGGGTACTGGAGTCGGGCCGCCACCTTGAGAAGGAAGGTTCGGTTCTCTCATCCGTCACCCGTGTGAGTGTTGGTTGCGTGGTCTCACAACGTTGGTCTGCTGCACAAATATACTTACTTTCAACTGGTAAACCGAGAACACGGTAACCTGACGATCATTGTTGCACAGATTAATAAACCGCTGCAATGACTACACCAATAAGCATTACACATACATGCCATCACGCGAGGTCAATAACCATTTAATTCTCTGGATAAAATTATAAAACCCATAACAGTCTTACTAACTTTCACCAATTTACACAACCAACGACTTTTAACAAACTCACAAGTTCACAACAAAGTTCTGTAAAACTGTCTCAGGCGAGGTGAGGATCACAAGAACATGTAAATCACACAATTGTTGAGTAATTCCTCCAGAAAAAAGTTTAACTGTGGCCAGGAAACAAGATTAAGTCCGCTGCAACACTCGTGAATAAAGCGTTATCCTCCACTCCCACGCCTGCCCTCCCTCCATGACGCGTCACTATGCAAATATCTATTAAACTCGACTACAGTAACAAATTGGAGCATTTCCCTTGATACTCGAGGAAAACATTCTCGTTGTGGCCATCACTTGGGGGTAACTGAACGTCGGGATGTGTCAAGACTCGTGTAGGATGAAGAACACCTCAGACACGGACGGTGTTTATGTGACTCCTGACGGTGACGGAGTGGAGCCTCGGAGCCGCTCAACGATGAGGTGTGTGTGTGTGTGTGTGTGTGTGTGTGTGTGTGTGTGTGTGTGTGTGTGTGTGTTAAATATAAATATATAAGGCTAAAGAAAACAGGGTCTGAAGGGCAGTGAAGGGGTATATGAGGCTGTGAGGGAGGAAGCTGAGGTTGTGAGGGGCAGTGAGAAAAATATCAGATTTTGAGGAGCTGTGTGAGGTTGTGGAGGGCAGTGAGGGGGTAGATAGGCTTCGAGGAGCAGCAAAGAGGCATACGTGACTCTGAGGTTAAAACTTGAGCAACTCCTTGTGTAGTAAACCGGTAACGAAGGAGAGAAGTCCAAGAATCATGAAATAACTGAGACTGTAGCGGCAAGATATAAACAAGTCTCGTAGTCAAGGCAGATGACGTATGGTAGAAGTGGGAGGAATATTTTACACGTCAACTGACTGTTAAAGAGATACAGACGAGATGCAAATGTTTAATGTGGAGAGAGAGAGAGAGAGAGAGAGAGAGAGAGAGAGAGAGAGAGAGAGAGAGAGAGAGAGAGAGAGATAAAACGTGGGTGGGTAAGAGAAGAAGGGAGGAAGGGGGGGGAGATTGAGAGAGACAACCGCATGGTGTGCTGACAAGGGAGGAGAAGTGAGGAAGATGGTGGTGATGGTGGCTGGCTATGTCCTCCTTACAATGCCAGAGTACGAAAAACAATATAATCATCATTCTGTAAATAAACTTAGGGCGAAGAAATGAAGATCTTATGTCCGAATATAGTGTTAATAGTTTGTTCATTCTTCACTGTGTACTGTGTTGACGTAGGGAGTAACGACGGCTTTACCAAGACTCCAACTTTTCTTGATAAAATCCAAGATGGGTGATGGATGTTTATGGTGAAGGAGAGCACGCACGCACGCACACAAACAAACACACACACAAACACACGCACATACACACACACACACAGAGGGAGAGAGAGAGAGAGAGAGAGGTGGTAGGGACGTGTGAGTCAGGAGTAATGGCATGGTAGAAAGATCATAAAGTTAGGCAGTTATCTGTAGGGCGCCAAGAATGAGTGTGAGTGAAGTGAGGGGTACAATGGAGGTACACATAGTATGGTGGGTGTTGTAGTAGCCACACAGAGGTACGCGGGGGAGGAATGACTTGGTTTAATCATAGTCTACAGAAAACAAAATTAACTACCACCATTCAGCATTGCAGAATACAGTACCATTTTAAACAAGTGATAAGCTGCATATTTCCTGTACGGTATTTTAATCACAATAATTATAGCAATAATAATGATAATAAAGAGAGCGTAGTGTCAGACTTCCTCCAGTTAGCGCCTTACACTGGTACAGACAATCATCTGATTCTTCCGGGATATTATTCACTTTGTTTCTATAATACTAATTTCCAGATAAAGGAAGAGGCAGCATCTCTCCAAGTGTTTAAATGTACTGCACTGCACTGCACTGCACTGCACTGCACTGTACTGTACTGTACTGTACTGTACTGCACTGTACTGTACTGTACTGCACTGCACTGCACTGCACTGCACTGTACTGTACTGTACTGTACTGTACTGTACTGTACTGTACTGCACTGCACTGCACTGCACTGTACTGCACTGTACTGTACTGTACTGCACTGTACTGTACTGTACTGCACTGCACTGCACTGCACTGCACTGTACTGTACTGTACTGTACTGTACTGTACTGTACTGTACTGCACTGCACTGCACTGCACTGTACTGCCGTAAAACTTACCCGACACAAAAATGATGATGGAAAGGATTTCCAACCCAGACGTCTGACTGTGCATCTTAAATCCCCTATCTGACGTATTGCTGCATCTAACTGCACAACATCCCGTTATAAGGCAAAGAAAAATCGTTCATCTACAGCAATGGTCAGATGGTAACTGATGTAAAATCAGGCGGCTCACTGCGCACTGGTGGAAATAAAATGGTGCCCAGTGATCACATGATCTCATTTTTTGGGACCCTCCATGTCGCTGCTCCCGGTAGTGTGGTGGGTGTACTGAGAGCCACACAGGAGGTTTGAGGCTCACCTTCGAGTCTGAGGATACACTCGGTGTCCTTGGGGTAGTCGTTGGGGTAGAGGGGGCTGTAGAACTCCATGGAATCGTGGTTAGGCTCGCTGAAGAGCCGGCACTTGTCCTCCTCGCTCACCATGCCCGTTGTCCCTACTTCCGGCCGCCAGTTGGTGTTCATACGTCGACCTGCAGGAGGAGGAACCCATTATTCACCTGTCGGAGATCTACCTTCACCATGTACACAATCTACAGTAATCCCGCCTTAAGTTCCGTAGGGCATAAACTACATCTGCCTCCACTTGCACCGACCCCTCACACACACACACACACACACACACACACACACACACACACATGTACACAGGCCAGGCATCTTTTTTACATACACAATTCACAAGTAGCGACAAAGGAACCGGAAGACGAGTTTATTAGGGAAAGTGATGATGGTTATTACTACTTTCACATTATTTACACGAACCCACCTCTTGCTCACCACACCTGAGTACACTAACCCACCTCTGACCCACCACACCTGAGTACACTAACCCACCTCTAGCACCACCACACTACTGATTTAAACCTAACACACCCATAAACTTCAATATAATTTACTTAATACGATCTACTAAATAACTTACAATGCTGCTAATTAATGAGGCGCCAACAAGCCCGACTATCGCTCGCTAACTTACAATGTTTACACGAGTCGCACAACCTGGTATTTTGATCACTAAATTTATTCCCTGGTGGCGATATACTGAGAACAGGTGCTGAGATTAGGTGCTGAGATTTAGGCAGCTGGAGAAGAGGTGACGGACTAGGTGCTGAGTTGACAAAGACTGGGAGGGAGGAGAACGGGGACCAGGGGGAGGTGACGAGGACCAGGGGGGAGGGGTGGATGAGTGACCGGCGGGGGAAGGGGTGACGAGGACCAGGGGGGAGGGGTGACGAGGTACCAGGGGGGAGGGTGACGAGACCATGGGGAAGGGGTGTCGAGGAACAGGGGAGGGGGTGACGAGGAACAGGGGGGGTGATGAGGACGTGAGGGGTGACGAGGAACAGGGGGAGGGGGTGGACGAGGAACAGGGGAGGGGTGACGAGGACGAGATAGCTGGGAGAAGCTAGTAAAAAGAAAGGCATAATATCAGTTACAGGTCATCAGTGAGCGCCGATACGTGACCAAACTTTACAGGAAGAATTATTAGAAATGGGTGAGGTCTCTCGGTTAAATATATACATAACGTTGAAGGGCAGGTAAGTTCCCCTGTATGTTACCTGAGGCATAACCTTGTTAATACTGTTTACCTTGACAGTGATGACGTCATAGCTCGTAAGGTCTCCTGTGCAAACTACGCAACTAAACGAGGTCTCTGTCAATCCTCCTCCAGACGACTCTCACCCACACACATCCTCTCTCCCCTACACACACCCCTACACCCTCCTCTCTCTCCCCTACACACTCTTCTTTCACCCACACACATACACACAAACACCCATACACACTTCTCTCATCCGGACACACAATCCTCTCACCCACACCCCACACCACACACCTCCCCACTCACACACCCCCCCACCCACACACCTCCCCACACACCCCTCTCACCCCCCACCACACCCCCCTCTCCCCCACACTCCTCTCACTGAAAAGATCCCACGTCATATTCCCTCACTTTTCCCCTCCATTACGGATACACTCACTTAGGCAGATTACCTCCCACAACTCTCTCACAGCGCCTGCTTTCTGCCTTCCTCCTCACCTTTCACTCTTAACAACTTTTTCCACCAAACTCTACTGCTATCTGGATTCTACGCTTGATTATAGCACAAACCAGTAGCTACAACCATCTGCCTATAACAACCACAACCTACCTGTCTATAACAACCACAATCACCTGTCTGTAACAACCATAACTTTCCTGTAACAACTACAATCTGATTAACAACCACAACCTGATTAACAACCACAACCTGATTAACAACCACAACCTACCTGCAACAACCACAATATGATTAACAACCACAACCTACCTGTAACATCTACAATCTGTCTGTAACCACAATCTACCAGACAGTGAGTCAATGACCAACAGTACCCACGAGCAACCACTAATTAGTTAAGACCAACACCTGTCTTATCTACCTCCTCCTACCACCACCACCACCACCACCTTGGCCTCCTACACCCTCCTCACTAGCCATCACACCTGTCAAATACAACACCTGTGTATGCTAACAAAACAAATGTATACTGACGCCTGCCAACACCTGCGTCAGATATAATTAAGTATTGCAAACCTTCAGAATCTGTTGATGTTTTAAGATGTGTTCAGGAGGAAAGAGAAAGAACACGCCATCACGCAATCACGACCACCCACCTACCCACACCCACACACACACACACACACACACACACACGCACACACACACACACCCACACCCACCCACACACACACACACAGCTACTTGCCAGAGATTACCTGTGTTACGAGGGGCATCAAGAGGAGCCATTACTACCATCACACCAAGTTGAGGAGACATTGTTTATCTGACCTTGTTTTAGAACCCAACACACACACACACACACACGTCATTTAAAGAAACTAAACTACTCTGTGTGTGTGTGTGTGTGTGTGTGTGTGTGTGTGAGAGAGAGAGAGAGAGAGAGTCCTTCCTACACGACCAAATATCTAACGCAACATAATTTTAACTGATATAATGAAGAACAATTTATCATAAACAAACTAGGCTGTTATCTTATACAAAAATGGTTATGTGACTAATTGCTTTCGATAATGAGGACACTTAGTCATGAGTAAAATGGCAAATTTGATTAAAATGCCTTGACGGGAGACGGGAGGGGAGACGGGAGGGGAGACGGGAGGAGGGGAAGGATGAAGGGAGTTGGGTGGGAGGGAGGAGAGGGAGGTGGAGGAGGCACTGGGTCATCACCACCACTAGATCACCACCACCACTAGATCACCACCACCACCACCACTCAGTTCACACACCATTAAGGGAACCATTGGTCTTAATTTCAATGAATTTGTCTCACATTAAACACTGGACTGAGCTGTTCTCGTGTTGACACTGTACACGTCACGAAGCACTGGACCACCGGTGTTCTTAACTGGTGAAGCCCTGGACTGTTTTGTTAACCTAACCTAACCTAACCTAACCTGAACTAACCTTTACTAACTCAGTCAAGCCTAGCCTTCCGTAATTTAACCTAACCTTCATTTACTAATTCAACCTAATCTAGTCTAACCTAACCTAACCTAAGCTAGAAACTACACTTATAGGTAAATAATCACAAGCAATATTATCGTTTCAATCTTATACTTAAGAAACGACCCACAACGACTTGACGACCCACAACGACCTGACGAC